CCCCAATTTTCCAAAAAGATGTTTGTCGTCGTGCGAAGATTGGTACGTAAAAATCTGCAAAATAAACTGAGTATAGAATAGATTGTATTACCTAAAGAGATCGTATATCCCTATTTCCTTGCAGATTTATAAGAGAAGGTGAAGGAGGTCAAGCGTCCTCCTCTCTAGCGGCGATCCAGACAATAGGGTTGCGACGACGCTCCTCAAAACTCCAGGCCTGCTATGAGGTGGAGAGGGAGAGGAGAATATGAGAGGTTAGCAAAGGCTCTAGCCTATGAACCAGTGAATCCTCCTATTTATAGAGGTCCCCTATCAAATCCTAATGGATCCTCCCCTAGTGGGTATTAGATCTGTATTTAACTACCCCAGCCTTTTAGATTAGTGTATCTCTATCTAATAATCTCTCATGGGCTCTTATTGGATCTCGTCCATATGATCCAATAATTCAGGGGCTTATTGGATATCCAAAAAGATAGGGGCTCCGGCGGATATCTCACATCCGAACCTCTACTCATCGCAATACCTACCATATGTGTGTGACCCTCTAGGCCCAATATCGAGCTGGCCGTGAGTCATACCTATCAGAACTCCTTCTAACTTAGTGAATTATTATCTTTGTAATAATTCACTCGACTCATCGACTACGGAGATACTAGGCCACTACGCCGTAGTCCCCAAATGATACAGGAGAATCCAATCCATTGGACCTGTCTGTCCACAGTTACCGTGTACCTATAGTCTCTCATCTATTTAATATCCCAAAGACCGTATATCGAGCATGGTGCTGTCAGGCCCATACGGTTTCTACTCGAGTCTCACTCTAATCGGATTCTCCCAGAGAACTCTTTCTCTCTCAACCCGAATGACCCTTGCTAGGGATTTGTCTGAGCAAGAACACATGGGATATTTCTCTTATGACGCAAAGAGTGGATGATCCTCTATCGACACTCAATAACCCTCGTAAGGTCGATTGCCACTCCTAATGATCAGTTGTACTAGATCTGGGATAGCCAAACCTATAAATCTGGTATCAAAGAGTGGAGCACTCATATAGGACATCCTCAGTGTCTCAAGTCTAAGGACCAGATACACCACTAGGACTACGGAATTGCTGTATAACAATAAGGCATCATCAACCGTCTAGCATTCTGTAAGCAGATCAATCAGTGAACTCATTCTCCAATGAGCACTTGTACTATATCCCTAGTGTCCCCACACGAGCAGCTATGAGACCAGCTGCATCCATCATATAGACGGGTATACAGCACACCAATCTGTCCGGTTATCATGATGTCTCTCTCGAGTAATCTATGACCGGGATTATTTATGATCTGTGTTTAAAAGTGAATTGATCTCATTATATTGATCTCATCACGATCCGATTCTCATCGCACAGATCCAATGACATCATAATATATACATGCATATATGTAATAGTTAATATAAAGTGATAAATACCAAAATATAATAAGCAAAAAAAGATTCTGTGTCAAGTCACATGTGTCATCACTCATGTGATTGGTTTGCTGGACACCTATTACTAGTAGAATTCTCATAAAAAAACCTCAAGTTTCAAAATTTTAGGTAAAGAATCTTAAGTTTAAAAATTTTATATGAAAAGATGATTTTACCTTCATCATTTTGAAAAATTCATGTCTTACCCTAGTTGTGCCTTCGCAAGTGCTAGACCTGGCCACACCTCCACCTTGTCGACGACCCCTCCTTTGCCTCACACATGGTTGTCTTGTCTACTAACTTTTGTCTGCCCATAACTCTCACCATCATTGTTGGCCACAAAAGCAAGCCATCCCCCTCCTTTCTTGCTTGTTGTTGATATCAAGGAGGGACCGTGCATAGACCACACCAACGAAGAAGGGGCACAAGTAAAATGCATGAACCCAATTGAACCCCTGACCTTATTGTCATCGCTAACCACGAAGGTGTCATGCAGCACCACCTATACCCTTGCTCGCATGAGGGCAACGAGGGTCGTTGCTACCATTGTAGTTTGAACCGTTGCTCGCGAGAAGACGATGATGGCAACTCTGTCACTAGTCCAACAAGAGAGACAAGGATCATTGTTGGGCACAGAGGTACCTCACAACATTGCTTACACCCTTGCTCGTGCGGAAGTGGCAAATGTCGCTTCTTCGTTGGTCTAGCGAGGTGCAACGAAAGCCACTATACCTTCATTGTTGGGTGGGTCTAACAGAGGGGTGCAATCAACGAGATTATGATGGTGCGACCACGGGCTCAGCGAAGTGTAGTGGCCCATAGGTCCATTATGGTCATTTTAAAAAAGAGGTGTTTGTGAATTTTTTTTAAAATTATGGTACTATTTAGGAAATTCCAAAGCTTAAAAGGCTTTTTTAGGAATTCATTCTATTATTTGATATTTTATATTAAAATATGAAATGAGTATGCCAAAAATTCACTAAGAATTGGTAAAAAATACGTAAATTTTACTTTAAATTAATATTTTTTACAACCTAAAAATGAAAAAAAAAGACTTTAAATAAAAGATACAATCTATAACTCATTTATATGTACACACAATTGATAGAGATTTATATATTTGCACTGAACTAGAATTTTTTAATATTCATTCTAAATCTGATCTAATAATTATAAATGTCTAGATTTGTATATCAATACCTTTTAGGGTATTTTTCCCATTAAATCAAAATTTGAAATAAATATTCCAAATATAATTTGAAATTGATAAAAAATCAGGTAAAATATGATTGGCTCAAACATACACTATAACTCATTTATATATCATTTGGTAAAGAAAGAAATACAATTAATATAGATTAACCTAGTACTTGATTAAAATTCTATTCAAGCACCATAAGGATATGATTTTGAGATGTCCATGCGTTCGAAATCACTTTTCCAAATTTAGACTTTATTTTCAAATCAATTGATATTCATAAATAAAAAAATTAAAACAATTTCCTTAAAATTAGTTTGATGTTGACCAATAGTTCAATTGTATCTGACCAAACACAATTCATTAATAATCCAATAAATAAAAATTAGAAGTTACTATTTTTTCCATTTACATGGTTTTTTCACTTTATCTTCTTATCGCTTAATTTTTATAAATTAAGTGTGATATAAATATATTAAGTAAAGCATGATTCCGATGTACAACCTATAATTTGTATATGATACGATAAAGAAAAATTAATAATTGATAGGAATATAATTATTATTTTTTAAATATTCAAATCTTGTCTAAGAATAAGATACCTTCCAAATTATTCAATCAAATTTTATATTTTATATTTTTATCAAATTCGGAACCTTATCTTCTCTTCTCTTATTCGTTTTATTCTACACATCCTCAAGCTAACCTCTTAAATGGGAAATCTTTTTTGTTTTCTTTATCCTTTGATCAACAAAATAAAAATATTTTATTATAAAATAAAAAAGAGCAATTTACCAAAAAAATAACTCTCTTATGGAGTTTTTGCCATATGTCACCCCCAATAATTGGTTTTACTAGAGGGGCATTTTTTTTTTTTTGTTCAAAATATTCTTATTGAAATCATAAAAAATGATCAAATTAATTGTTAGACCTGAATCGATTTTTTTTAGATTAATTAGATAATATCAATTCAACTAAATTATAACTACCCAATTTTATTAAATTATTATATTGATTTCTCCTCATCTGTTATCTCTCACTATATCTCCATATTCTCTCACTCTATATTTATAATCCTCCTCATCTTTTGTCTCATCTCTCTCATCATTTTCATAGTTTATATAGAAAAAATATTATATTTAAGGTACACTCGAGTAACATTAGAATTATATTCATTCATATAATATATATATATATATATATATATAATTTTAAGATTATTTAAATTTAAAAAAACTTAAGTATTTATAAAAATATTTTTTATATATAAACTTTTAAATTATCCAAAAATTATTATACTTGAGTTACACTCAGAATATACTCATTACATATTAAAAAAAATATTTTTATAATATAAATTTATCATAAAACTAATCATAAAACCTTACATTTCCTATTTCCTATATTGATATAGTCGAATTAAGTTAAACTTGATCACCTAACTTATTTTAAAATTAATATTTTTAGATAATTTCAAGAAAATTAATTATCAAAACTTTGAGAATTATACTTAATATGATTTAAACAAAAATTATACTATTTTTTTAATGATCATTTTTAGATATATTTATATAAAAAATTAATATATTTTTAAAAATATTTTATGAATTACTATAATTCGAACAATAGAGAGAGAGGCTGAGTGAGAAAGGATGGAGGCAGAGGAGAAAAAAGCCAAAGAGAGAGAGAGAAAGGAGGAGGTGATGAGGGTGAAGTGAGGGAAATAGTCAGAATAGGAAGAGGAATGGAAGTAAAAGAATACAACTGAGGAGACTGAGAAGGAGAAGGGGAGAAGGAGATGAAATTTATTTATTTATTGACCTAAATCGATTTATTTGTTTAAATTGATTTATTGGTCTAAATCACTTTCAATCGATTAAAAAAAATAAAAATAGGATAAACTTAATTGATAAAAAATCATAAAAAAATAAATAGTGATGACGTCATCCAATTTAAAAAAAATAATGGAAACCCTATTTGATAAATCATTCAATAAAACAATATAAATTCTTAAGACAAAATCTCTCGCACCGCGCCCCTCTCTAATTCCCAATCTCCTCACCAACTACTCTTCCACTGAGAGTTCCGTTCCACGAGTCACGATAAGATCGGTTTGAATGATATCACCGACTTTGATTCCCTTCCCTCGATTCGGCAATTGACTCGATGCACGCTCCACCCGATTCTTCCAACCATGTTTATGGAAATGGTGGGCCCCAACGAACCAAGTTTCTTTGTCCTATGGGTACCGTGGAGCCCGGTTTGGCCCATTCACCGAATCTGCGCCGAGGGAGCCTTGTTGTCATCTTTCGTTCACGGAACACGATAAGAGAAAACTTGGGCAGATCTAAAAAGCAGAGGAAAAACCACATAATCTCGTTCACCGCAAACCGCGATGTCTCCGTTTCGTCCGATGTCTTCTCTTTCCATCGGCCTCCTCATCCTCCTATGCTGCTTCGGCTTCTGTTTCTCCGCCGACGTTGAGAGTCTGACGGCGTACGAGGTGCTGGAATCGTACGGATTCCCGCCTGGGCTGCTCCCTAAGGGTGCCCTCGGCTACGATCTCGACGGCTCCACCGGCGCCTTCTCCGCCCACCTCAATGGCAGCTGCAGCTTCTCCCTCGATGGCTCCTACCAGCTCCGCTACAGCCCCACAATCTCAGGTCACATCGCCTCTGGCCGCCTCTCCGGACTCCGCGGCGTCAGCGTCAAGGTCCTCCTCTTCTGGGTCAACATCATCGAGGTCCGCCGCCTCAGTGATTCCCTCCGCTTCTCCGTCGGCATCGCCTCCGCCGATTTCGCCATACGCAACTTCTTCGTATCCCCCGGCTGCGGCTGCGGCTTGAACTGCCCCGATGACGACTACGATGACGTTGCCGATTTCCCGCTTCGACTTCGTCGGCTCCATCCGGATGCGGTAAAGAACTACTAGCGTATGTCTAATTTTAGGGTGTTGTTAGTTCCCTTCAAGGTACTTTTACTTTCGCTTAAGCCATATGTCTCTATCGGATCAGGATCGGACTATCTGTGATTTTCTACTGAAATCGAAGATCTTTGGTAAATAAATTAATCAAGTGGATTGAAACATCATAAATCAATTTACCTCTTGGCTAATTATCATATGCAGATTGTGAATTTTGCTAAGTACCTTGTTGAGTCTCTTAGCGTTGGCGTAGTGTATCGATTTCAGCTTTAATTTAGATTAGACAACTGTGGATCGGTGTTCTACTTTGATGGGACTTCTTTTTTTAAAGCGAAAATTGGTTTGTTGATCACAGGATAAACCATTAAATTGGGCAACAAAAGTAAAAGAAATACCAAATCACATAATGGTGAAAATGAAAATTGCTTTGATGATCACAGGACCAACAAAAAAATTAAGGCAACTAAGACAATGGCATCATAACTGATAAGCGTTATAGAGCCTCATTATTATTGACACAGATACTAATGATATTTTTTTATGCCTAGGCTCTAGCCTCCTCTGAGGTTGCATCTATAATCAAACTTGCGTGCTGATTGCATTTTTAGCTTTTGTGACAAGTTATCGTTGTTTTCTTGTGTGATATTCCATAGCCTTGACTTCATTTGCCGATACTCCATTTTTCTTCAGCATCAGTGAAATTTCTGTCTTCTGACAATCTTTAATTTCTCCTTCTTTCTGCTGTCTCGATCATAAAGTAGTCTGATCATTGTACTTGTGATCCTTCAAGGTGGTTTCTTGGTCATTTGGTGATAGTCACAATCCTGTGTGCTTTTGGTACCTTTAGATGTATTAGTGACTGATAATCAACTTTTGTAGATTGTAATGGACTTCACACGAAAAAAGGTTAAACAGTGATTCCTTGTTTTCATTTGATGAGAATATATATTGATCAAACAGGTGATGGGGCAGGCCGTAGAATAAGTCGTCTCTTGAATTCAAAGTTTTGCTAAAAGATTACAGGAGGAATGAGCGTCATATTGCTTGAACTTGATAATTTGTTTGCATTTGGAGTTAGTTATAAAGATTGGTATTCAATTTCCCATACAGAGTTGCCACTCCTAAAATGGGCTCTTTGTAGTTAAGACTGTCTTCAACCCTTCTTATAACTTGCCAAGCTTAAAAAGAGTCCCTGTTTTCCCCCCATATTCAGATATAGTAGTTTCCATCTCCTAGTCTGTGCTTGAGATCCAAACTATGTTGGAAGTTATGACGTGAGCTGCCAAATTTACTCCCATGGCTTGGTGAAAATGGCTCTAGATTTACATATCATGAGGCAAATCTGGGAGTTCCCATCTCATCTTGTGTCTGTTATACAAGCTATCAAGGTTTAACGTATCGAAGTGTACCGCTCAATATGGGTGGTATGTATGGATCCGATAGATGATTGGTATGGACGGTATATCGGTATACCCTAGTGTATCGTGTGTCACTATACTCTGTACAACTCGGTACATACCGTGCCGACAGCTAGTCGATACACCAGTATGGACCGATAATGCGAGCCATGGTTTATATGTATTAGTGAACTACAATGAAGATCCTTTGGTGGGCTATTGTAATGGTTATAATCTTATTTGGTAAACTTGTTTATATGTATTGGTGAACTGCATATAATGAAGCTCCTTTGGTGGGTTATTGTAATGGTCATCATCTTATTTAACGAGCTCACAAAGAACAGAGGAAGCTTTTCTCTGTAATTATAAAGGAAAGAGAAGTAGAGAACGAAATATATGATAATTAAAAAAAAACTATCAGACTCACTGTGGCTAAATGATAATTCTATCATAGTTTTTTGGCCTTTTCATATAGGCCCCTAAGTACAAGAAGAAAATAAAAAAAGGAAGAAAATACAATCATATTGAGGCTAATTAAATAAATTATATCTTTTTTTGGAGAAGGTAATCTTTCAAATTTCGTTTTGTCATCTTCCTCTTTGGTACTTGATTCTCTTCCTTTTCTGTAGCTAGAGTTTTGAATCCATGACTGATGTCAACCAGAAGTTTAGACTGTTAAGTCCATGAATTTAGGGTTTAGTTACCCTGAAGGCAAATATTATATGCTATAAAACATCTACAATAATGTTATGAAGTTCAAATGCTTGATAAAAATGTGTTTGAATTATCACATTCCAAATTTATAAAAAGAATAATAAATTATTATTTTATTATCCATAATTTACATAATAAACTCTCTCTTTTATTTTTTTGAATTTAAATCTTTGTCTTTACAATAGTAAATATTCTATTAATTAGAAAAATGATCACATGTTCTTAGCAGGGTCACAAATCTATTCTATCTAAGCTTCAAATCTATTACAAAGTAGTAGATTATTCTGAAAATAAATATAAGATAAAACATATCAACAACCACACATGCTGGTAGGAACCTCAAAAAAATTATAAAAATAATCAATAATCTTCAATATTCATGAAATATAAATAAATATCAATAATTCAATAAGAAATAATAATATATCAATTCATCATAAAATTTATGCACCAGAAAAACGATGATAATTTCTTAAATAATAAACAAAATCATGCATCAGCCATATACAATACAAACATAATAACTAGATAATAAAGACGTACATCAAAGGATGGACCAACAGCGGATGGAAGAATTGTCTAACCATCACGTCTGACGGTCCGCTAATCCTCAAAGGGAATCGCCATACTTGCCTTCGGCAAGGATATATAAACATCCATAACCATTCATTTACACTTATCCATTCACTCACACATGCATCAAGAAATCAATATGATTAAACATTATGAGATACCATACTTGATGTAAATCTACTAGATTATGTTCATTGGTGGCTCCGCACTATGATGGGCCCGTAGCTCCTTTCATATGTTGCACTCCCAATGTGAACTACTAGTCTAGTCACATCTACTACATGATAATAATCATATCAATATCATAAACTTAAGAAAATAGAAAACCAATAATCATTTTCAAATGACATCTTCAGATAAAACTTCAAATTCATTAAATCATAAAGGCATGAAACAACAATCTCTCAATAGTTCTCAATCAACCAAAACCCTAATTGGAATAGCTCAATTGACTTAAACTAAACTCAATTCGATTATGATCTAACAGAACCAACCTCAAATCCTTATAGAACCGGTCTGGAATCACCCTAGACTGTTCTAATCTAGATTTGATTGATCTCGATTAGATAAGTATGTTTGAACTAGTCAAGTTAGTCTGGAACCACCCTAAACTGACTTTAACCTATCAATCCTGTCTGATTTAGTCAATTAATGAGCTCAAACCAATAGAGAGAGAGAGAGGAAATCGAACTATGTCGTATAGTGCTAACCCTAAACGACAAGTAATAGGTTGAGTTGAGGTACAACGGGCTAGATAGAGGGGCAACAATATGTCTAATGTAAATCGCATAGCTGGTCAGGCTTAACTTCATAGACTAGGCTAAGCATTACTCATAAGTTGAGCTGAGCCTTACCACTGAACTAGCCCATGCTTGACTCGCGAGTTGGTCGTACTTAAAAACATAAGTTGGGGTTGTATCTGACCACATGTACTGGGTCCTATCTAGCCGCATGAGCTGAGACATATATAGCCACATGGGCTGGATCATACCTGGCCACATGGGTTGGGTCATGCCTAGCCACATGGATTGAGTCGTACCTTGTCACATGGGCTGGCTCCTATCTGGCCACATGGGTTGGGTCATGCCTAGTCACATGAGCTATGTTATACTTGGTCACATGGGCTAGGTCGTACATGACCACAAGTCGATATAGTCTAATAGATCAACTTGGCTCAAGTCAGACACCAATTAAACTCCTCTTAAAATAATTAAAGAATGACTCAAATTCATTAATTAAAACTTTAAATTTATGATCTTAAATTTAAAACTAATTACATTATAGAAATTCACACATACTTCTTAAAAACATAGATATATCTAAATAAATTAAAACTATCATGCTAATCCAAAAATAAAAATTTTAATAATTAAATCAATATTAAAATTACTTAAGCTTCAGAGATCAATATAAATCAAATAACCATTCTAACATCACAAAATAATTATTATTATTTACTAATCATGAAATTTTAAAATTAAAACATCATCACATAAAATTATAACAATCTCAACATTAAGATTTTAAAATATAAATCAAAACTAGTTAAAAAGAAAGGATCCTACCTCTCTTTGCTATCTTTTTCTCGATATCATCTTCTCGGGAAGTCCTCTCATCAATCCTCCCATTGTTAGGCTCGGTGAGGAATGAGGGAGGAGTAGTCCCCTTTATATAAGAGTAGATGAGATCTTCCCAAAAGATAAGTAATAATTTAATTTTTATTTTTAATTTTTTTAATTTTTTTTCACACACAAAGAGAGAAATATAATATTCATTTCTTATAGTTCGCACACGAAAATGGGAATGTAAACCATTTACTTTCTAAAAATCAAATCATTCATTAGGAAATAAATTAATTAATAATTTAATTGATTAGTAGAATTTTTAATTTATCCACGTGATTAAGGAAACCAAATTTAATTATTTCTTTAACTATAGTAGACAAACATAAAAGTTAATAATAAAGCAATATATCATTTATAGTAATTAATTTATGTTAAGAGAAAAATTATTAGTGATTATATGAATGGTACAAGACATATCTAATTTATCAATGGCTTGATTTGAAATGCTAAATGACCAACGTAGATGGTTAACCATGATCACTGTGATAATGTTTTCAGCTAATTTTCAGCCTTAGGATTTTAAGTGGTTAATTAAAGTTGTTGAATTAAAATTGTTAGGTATAATTAGGATTTCCTGGTCATTAAAATTGTTAGGTATAATTAGGATTATTTCTCTTTATTTTTGGTGGACAGATTAGTAAAATTTCGAAGTTGAATGGTATCTTCTTTCCTGCATGTGTGCATTGTTGTCATTTTGAATTATCTCACTCCGGATGTTCTTTCTTCTTTTTCTTTCTTTTCTTTCTTTTATTTTCCTTCTAAACCTGAACCTGCAAACGACGAACACCTCAGGATTTCTTTGATATCCCAAAAACTCGTAGAAATGCTGTAACAGTGGATAGTTTCTTTTCTAGACCTCAAATTGGTTGGTCAGATTGACTGACTGTTATCAGTGTTAAATGTAATCTTATGTAGCAACTTATTGTGACTTCTGCTTAGTTTCACCCTGAAATTTGGTCGTTCAGATTTACTGTAACTGTTAAATGTAATGTATGCAGCAATCTGTTTGTGACTTAGGACAATTACAAATTGCTGTTGTTTATGTTAAGAAACAAGAGGAGAAGAAGGCTTAATGACTTAATTGTGGGAATTTCTAATTAGTCACTATATTTGGTCACAATCGCCTCATACAAACTTGTTTTGTGGGAGCTTATGATGAATCTTTTCTCCACCCAACACCCATCCCTATTCTTTCGTTATCATTAGGTACGGTGTCTCGCATTAACTCTAGTTTTCTGATAACATGAAGTTTTCTTTGGATAGGGAAAATTGTCATTAGTATCAATTGCTCTAAGTTAGTTTTTCAGAACCAGTGATTTGTTGCTTTTGTTTAATTTCTGAAAAATGTGCACTTAAAAAAGACTCGTTGGGTGCCATTGTCTAGTGATGGATGGCACCGCAGATGTAATTTCACTAGCAAACGTTCACGTCGCAGGTAGACTGTAGGTAGTCTCTGTTTGTGGACTCCAAGGAATTGAAATCTGAACTGATCATAAAGTTCAGTTCTTTATTTGGATTTCCTCACAGAGGGCAGCTGTCCATGACTTTTATTTTAATTCTTATTACTGTTTCGTTAGTAGCATTTTTTGAGTATGCCTATGATAAATCTTTCAATCTGTTCTTGCTAATTTGCTCACAGCATTTTCTTTTGCATGACATTGAACAAAAGGAGTTGACTTATCTTTTGGACTAAAGTAAATAGAGTTGTTATCAATAGGAAGCTTGTGAAAGGTTATCTGTGCCTTGAGGATTTAGCTTGTGTGTGAATTTTGTGTTCATTCCAGATTTAGTTGACCGTTCATGCGTTCCAAACTAATGAAAACATGAGTGGCAAAATCAATTGTTGTCTTAAGTAAAGTGACAGTCATCCAAACCTAAGAGCAAAAGATTTATCATCCAAACGCCTGTGAAGAGTTCCGAAGATTTATTGAATGCTTCTCATCTATAATAATAGATTAGTTATTTGATACTGATTAAAGAAGCTTTTTATATTTTATGATTTTAATTAATTGGTTAAGATGTATTTAGATTATAAATAGATTCTGATTATAATACCTTAAGAGATGATCGAGGGATTTTTTTCATTCACCTTAGGAGATTATTATTATCATCATAGATTTCTTCATATAGATCTCTCTTCTATTGATGGTTGCTATGTTGGTTGGGCGTTTGTCATGAAGAGGGTCATGCAAGGTGGAGGTGAAGGTACCACGATTAGGAATTTGCTGGTTGAAGGTACCACGATGAGGAATTGGCTGATTGAGCAACACGAAATCTCAGCTTACGATTAAGTCAAAATCAAATTTGATCAATCTAAATCAAGTTTTTTATTAGAAGCTCCATTTTGGCCTAATTTCTAATTTCTAGTTTTAGGTCAAAGTTCAAATTGAATTTTTGATCGATCAAGGCTAATTTTGACTTGGTGAACTTTGGTTAGTTAATTAATTTGATTGATTCATTGGGTTGATTATTTGGCCAAATTTGGGTAATTTAATTATGAACGTCTTAATTTATTTTGACTCAATTTTGGGATGTCTCATTAAATAGGATTGATTAGCTCATTTGGTATTTTACATAAGTTTAAAAATATATAAATTATAAATTTATTTTATAGTTTTCTGATATGATATATAAGTAAAATTTTTATTACTTGTGATTCTTAAATTTTAATTATTATTTTTGGACGTCTGTGTAGTTATTTATATGCATATATTTGAAAATTATTAAATAATATGTATTTTCACAAAAACATAAATTTTATTTTATCGTGATTATTGTCATTATATTAGTTTTATTGTGTTGATTAAAGTTTATGTTTAATAATTATTATGATTATTTTTATTGAATAATTTTTATATAATTAGATTAAAAAAACTTAGTGAATATTATTTATAATTTATATCCCTAAGACATACTTAGATATACTGAGATTATAATTATATTATGATTAAGATTATCAATTAATAAAAAGAAAATTTACTTATGTTATAATACTCCAAGAGATAAATTTGATGGACTCTACTTTTTAGAGGCTCTACTCTTGCCTAGTGGGATTGGGAGCATTATCATGGTAGATTTGTTTTCTCTATGATAGGTTGATATTTTATTAATTATCAAATTCTTAAAAATTCGAAGAAATAAAAAAAATGAAAATATATCATCCCTTTTTTTTGTCTTTAAATTTTTGTCCCTCCCTCAATCTATCATCCATATTTTTAAGTGTTCTAGAACTTACCAAGTTTTTTTTCTTAAATCAGATCTGATAATTCTGATGCTTTTTTTTTCCTATTTAACACATTGGTAGGGCCAAACACATTTTGTACCAGAGACGAAATTTAGGGCCTCTATACAGTTTAGCTGTCAAGTGCCCTCGAGCCCCGAGTTGTGGATCTCCAACGATCCTAAAGCTTAAGAGTCCATGTCTCCCACGATTCCAAGCCTTCACCGTAAGAGTGAGGCGACGACCGACTGCAACTCGAAGGCGTTTCTTGATTCCCGTGGGTATTGCTCGACTTAAAAGCCATCCATGGTGTCCTATAAACAAATAATAACTCCATGTATTTAGATTAAAAAAGATTCGAATCTCCTAAGATGAGTGAGAATAAAACTGATACGACGCCAAAAAACAAAACAGACAAAACTGATTCGACGCAGTACTAAACTACTCTGACAGCATCGTTCGTTCATGCTGTTGGATGAACCGAACGAAGTAACAGCTCAAATTAGCCTCGATCCGTAAGTGCGACGCGGTCCTCAGTCTCGCGACTTGTTGTGGCTCAGCATCATCTCACGCAGCTCGGCCGGGTCGATCTCGCCCATCCTGTTCGCCGGCCGGTAGTACCCGGTAGCCGGATCCGGCACCCAGGAACACGCCGCAGCCTCCTCAGCCCCTGCCGGCGGCGCTCTCTTCACCATCTGTTCCGCCACCGCAAGCCGTTCCCTGCTCCCCGTCGTCGTCGTCGTCCCCGCCGCTGCCGTAGCGTAACCCCTTCTGCACCAAAGGCCGGAAGCAAATCAGCACCGCGATCCACCGTTATCCCAGAAGCGTAGGAGAAGAGGAGCACGGTACCTGGTGGTGAGGAGGGCGACGCCGTCGGAAAGAGCCGCAACCAGGTTGGAGTTAGAGAGAGCGCGAGCCATCGGATCGGAGATTAAGCGGCTGCGCTTCCGCCAACTCCGCGCTCACTTTCTCTCACCCGTGGTCTCTTTCTTTTGAGTCCTTAGGGTTGGAAGCGAAGCGGTTATTTATAGTGCGACGATGCTGGAGTGAAACGGGAGCGGCGTCGGGGTCGCGCGTGTGAAACGCTTGAATCGGGGCCGGTTCAGGAAACCAGTCCTTACACGACACGTACGCATGGGAAACAACAGCCGTCGGTTTACGCTTGCGTTTTTGTGGCCGGAGACGATGGGACGAGAGCAACAAAACCTTTCGCGTAGCCGTCATCTCCAGTGGGGGCTACCGACTATATCCGATCGGAAGACGGGTATTCGGTTAGCGTCACATGAAAGGTCGGCGGAAAGGTCTTTTGTTTCATGTTGAAAGAATGTCGCAGAAGTACTATTGCACTTTTGTTTCATGTAATTGAGATTTTTGTTAAATATGTCAGCTATAAAATAAGTTTGTAACACACACACATATATATATAAGTCGGGTGTAATCTCAATTAAGATATGACGGAATTAATAATTCTCCTAGATGTATATTTTTTATAAATAAGATTATAATTATTATCAAAATATGATAAAAATGATCAGTACATGTAATTATAAGGTCTCGAGACGGTGGAATCAACCAGACATTATTTTTAGGGCTGTCGTTGGAACCCTAAATCTAATGGGATCGGACTCGCGAGTCGAGTTGGGCTTACCCGACTCAGTGAGCTCGACTAAACGCGTTCGTTGACGTGGGATGGGAAGCCGAAGCCGAGCCCTGGGCTCACCTGCGTCCTAAATCTAAGCGTAAATCAACGAGACTCGCGAGTCGACTCGGGCTTACCCGACTCAACGAGAATCATTAAACACGTTCCGTGACGTTGGACGAGAAGATGAAGCGGAGCCCTAGGCTGCCACCTTTTGTTGCTGCTGCCGTCGCCGCCGCCGACTTCGCCGTCTCTATTGTCGCCGCAGGCTGCCACCTCCTCTCTTCCGCTATCGCAGGCCACGCTACCTTGGTCCGACCGGTACACTCTTCTCCTCTCCACTCCTATTTCCTTCCGGCTCCTGTTCTCTCTTATCCTTCCCTTGCCTGTTCTATCCCATTCTCTCCTCTCCTCACCCTCGTAAAAAGAAAAGAAGTACTTAACCTTTATTTCTTCTTCTTGTTTTTCTTTTCTAGAGTTTCTAAAGGTTTATCATCGAGGGACAAAGGAATTCAAGGAACACAAACGTACCGCAGCGCAAGCCCCCAGGAATTCCAAACCCTCGATTGGCCTTCGCACAGCACCACGGGCCGCTAAGCCTCGCGCGGCCATGATGGAGAAGAAAAATAAGGCAGCGAAGGCCAATAAGAAGCGGCGAAACGTCGCCCTCTCCAAATCCCTAGCCCCCAACAACAGAAAGATCATGAAGATAAACAATAAGAAGGAGCAGCGGAGGAGACACGGGCCTCGCATCCCCACAGCCCTTCACAAGGATCTCAAACGTCTGAATCCCGAACGTAGCCACGACGAATCAGATTGGGAAAGTGAGGAGATGATGGAGGAAAATGCATATGAGTACGAGGAGGCAGTCGCTGAAGAGGAGGCACGGAAAAACCGTCGCTTCGATTCTGTGGAGAACTACGAGTACGAGCTCCCGGAAGATTTCGAGGTCAGTTAGTTCTATTCTCTGTAATTCGTGTTGAAAATTTGGTATTTGTTTCGTTAAATCTGGATTCGCACTCCTTTAAGGATGAGGACGTGCCTTCAGATGATGAAATGGATGATGAAATACCTTCGGAGGATGGCCAAGATGGTGACAAACATCTGAGGATGCTCGAAGGTATTACTGGCTTACCAAGCCAGGCCTTTGAAGGTGAACTTCTAAAAATTAAAATTTTGATGATTCCTACATGATGATATGAATTTTCCTTTTTTTTAACTATAATTGAGATTTTATTGTAGGCAAGGAAAGAAAGAAGTTTATTTTATCAGATTTTCAAGGGGATTCGGTTGATGGGCGGATCAATATTCATGATCTTTTGGATCCTCTCCATGGGAAGCCTGGGTATAGCAAACTTAGGAAGAGATTGCACCAACTAGAGAGGAAGCCACTGGCTGTTCAGGCTCCATTGCCAAAGGTGGAGAGGGAGAAGTTGGAGAGGAAGATCGCATATGAGCGTGCAAAAAAGGACGTAACCAAGTGGGAGCCACTGGTTAAGAGGAACAGAGAGGCACCTACCCTGTATTTCGATGAAGATGTGAACCTGGGCTATTCAACTGTAGGAGCAATTGCTTCTGAATTTACACCAAGAACGGAGTTTGAGAAAAAGATGTCTTTGTTAGTTCATAACCCAGAGGTTGTTGAAGCTCATAATAAAGATGGTGCAAGACTCCTGGAGCTCAACAAGGTATGCTCTTTCAAAGTTGTCCTTGATGTTCTTCTACATCTGTTAAGGTATGGGAGTGTTTAGGATGACTAATGTATTTTCATCATCATTTTAAGAGGCAACTGCAAGAGTTTAATCTAGAGCTGAATTGGTGTCCGAAAGCCCTAATATCTGCATTATATTAATTATGCTAGATGTTTCCTTTGTAAACATGTATTTTGATAGTTTTATTGTCATTGCTCAGAGTCGCTTGACAGATTAGTCGGCCAGCTCACATGTTTATGAGCATGTGAGCCTTGAAATATATTGTGAGAACAAAATGAAGTATTTCAGATATCTTAAGTCTCTCTTCTCTCTTTCTTTCTATTGTCTCTCTTTTCTCTTTCTTCCACAAAAATCCTCTCTTTCATTTTGCTACCTTCCCTCGAAATTAAGTGGCAGTCTGGTAGATGACATCCTATGAAGATGAAATTTTTGTAAGCTAAATTCGTTTTATTGAATTCACAAATATTCCAGTATGTTTTATATCAGTTTTAATTGTTATGTGATACCAGGGATCATTGGTTATAGCAATGGAGATGTGATTTATGATATTTCATGATTAGACTTGTTGTTGATATTTCTAATCATTAGCAAACTCATTGTTTCTTCTGCAGATTTCTGTTGAGGATGTGAGGGATCACCAGAATCGTCTTGCAAAAATGCGAAGTCTTCTTTTCCGTCATGAGGTGAAGTCAAAGCATATTAAGAAGATCAAATCCAAGACATATCACCGTATTCTTAAAAAAGAGAGATTGAAAGAAGTTTCTGCTGATGTGGAAATGGATCCTGAGACCATGAAAGATAATGCTAGGAAGCAGGAATTTAAACGGGCAGAGGTAACCAAGGCTTCTAATATTTAATTTGTTAATTTTTTTATTTTTGGATGATTAATCATTGATGCTCTTTTCTTGAAGAGCTCTACTTTCTAAAGAATTTTTTATATCTATTTATGTATGTTGCAGGAAAGAATGACACTGAAACACAAAAACCGTTCAAAATGGGCAAAGCGAATCTTAAAGCGTGGATTAACAGTTCAAGATGAAGGAACTCGAGCTGCCATAACAGAACAACTTAACCAACATGCACTTCTGACTAGAAAAATGAATTCATTGAAAGACACTAGCAGTAGTGATGAATTTAGTGATGACAATGATGATGCTGATGAAGAATTTTCACCTGGAACAGAAAGGGAAGACACTTTCAGGCTTCTAAATAAAGCAAAAGAAAATACACTCAAGGCCATTGAGGATGAAGATGAGCTACCTAAGTCAGGAGTCTTTGCATTGCCTTTCATGGTAAACACTTACTAACTTATATTTAAAGATTTCTTTGTTTGTTGATCAATTCTATTACTTGTGTCGGGTATATAGTAAATTAACATGTTTGATTTCTTTTGCCATTTATTACCTTGGAGCTTCTTTAATATTGTAAGTGATAGCAATTCTTTTCATTTTTTGGTAGGTTTGTAGATTAACAAACTTAAAAGCATTTTTTGTTTGTATTTCGATTAAATGATTCTTAAGGATATTTTTGTACCCGGCTATAATTTTGCATATTTTAGTGTCTTCATTCTGCATATATATTGAAATACCTTTTCCATCTTAAACCTTCTTTTATTTACAGGAACGTGGCTTGAAGAAGCGACAGGAGGCAGCAGAGGAAGAAGCTCGAATTGCTCTTCATGAATATGATGCATCATTGAGACAACTTGAAAATGAGAATGATGTAGAAAGTCCAAAATCAACTAAAGTAAGTGGTAGGAAAGTCTTTGGGCCTCCTATAAACAAAACTCAAGAATCCAGCAGTAGGAAGGAATCATATAATGCAGACAAGAGTAGTGACAGTGAAGATGATTTTGAGGCTGTCGATTGTGTGGATGTTGGACATGAAGTTAAAAATCATTCACAGGAGCTCCATCTCGTAGCTGCTTTGCATGATGATCCAGAAAAGACGCATGACTCAATATTCAAGGTAATGACTACTTTAATTTGCTGCAATTTCTTCAACTTTTATGTTTTTAACAGTTTCTCTTAATCTAATCTTCATATGGTTCTATGCAGAGTTTTGATGACATCATGAAACACCCTGGTACAAAGACAACATATGAAGTTGCAATCTTTGCTTCAGATTCCTGGAAAAAGGTTTTATATTGTGCAGAATCTATTTGTTTAAAGTTATATTTCTGTTTTCATGTTTTAATCATTCTGCCAATGTTTTGAGTAGATGAAAGGTGAAAATGTGGGAGATGACAGTACCACTAGAGATGAAGTAGTTCAAAATCCTCAGGAACCTAATGTATGTGCACTATTTATAATTTGATTAGCTATTTAAAGTTACTCAGTTGTTTTTTTTTTTCTTTTAGTCCAACAGTATTGATCAAGATAATGATGATGATGATTCCGAGGAAGAGATGGTCGACGGATTTTTGCCTTCCAGCCTAAAGTACGATTACAAACTTCCATCACAAACTGACCTTATACATCGTGCCTTTGCTGGTGATGATGTGGAGGCAGAATTTGAGATGCATAAATTGGACATTCTTAATGAAGAGAACCCTGAACCAGAAAAACCAGTTTTACTTCCTGGATGGGGCCAATGGACAGACATACAGCAGAAGAAAGGCATGCCTTCTTGGATGCTAAAAGAACATGAAAATGCCAAGAGGAAGAGGGATGATGCCCTTAAAAAGAGGAAAGATGCCAATCTCAAACATGTAATAATTTCGGAGAAAGTTGATAAGAAGGTAAAGTTGCTCTAGTCATTTAATGTTACTGTTTTGTGAGCTTTTGTTGGACACTTTTTGCTTTATAGTTTTTTGACATCTTATTAGATGAGATGTTTCTGCACAAGGCATGTACTGTGGTGTGATGTTAATTATTGCTTCAAATTCAAGATTCAGTCAGTCATTTAGGATAATTCAAGTTTCAATTTATTTAAAGAATGAAGGGAATAATCATTAGTTAATTTATAGTTGCTGCTGCATTAGTATATGTGTGAGTTTTTAGGTTTTGAAGAGAGATAAATTTAAACTTAGTGATGGTTTGACCCTAAACAAAAGAAAATGCTGAATAAGACTGGACCACTCAAGAAGGTTTGGTCCATTTGATGGTTTGCTGTTGGAGCAGTAAATACCACTCAATATGGACTCGATCTGAACAGAATTTAGAACCATGGTCTAAATCATGTAACTTAAATTGCAACATAGCTTTAGTTATTAAGTGTAGAGGACAAAGTGGGAAAGCAACTTGAAGAAATTAACTTTAATAAGTTGAACCAAATTCTTTTTAGTGGATAAATTGAGTACTTAAGAGGAAAATGTTCACATGCTAACTAGAAGACAGTAAGTTGCTTACATGATATCCACTAGTAATTTGTTTTGAGCTTTTAAGTCATGCTTTTTGTATGTTGTGTCAAATGAGATTAAATGAATTTTTTGCTTATTATTTAGTCAGTTTATTTTTCTCTCTTTTATAGATACAAGGCCTTCTGATATCTGCTTGCTTGCAGTATTGCAACACGTATCCATGTCGAACCTCGTACATACCTGTGCATATTGACAATGTTGTTAGAAACAAGGTTTCAGATGCTAATGGATCGATATGTCATTTGGTGTTTATTGGTTTGACCAAGGATCAGCATTGGATCATTAGTGTTGGTCGGTGTTTAATTTTTTTTCTTGTTTTTTCCACTGGGTTGGTATAGGTTAGAGTATTGCTCAGTATACAACTACCGTACGTATCCAAATAGTTGCAGAAACTGATACTGGACTGAGATCTAAAACCTTGTAGAGAGTACATCTTATGAAACCTTGTTCATGTCGTTTATAGCTAATTGTCGTCCTATGATTTTCATACTGATATTGTGAAGTTGCTTTAAGTAGGAAACCCATTGTACTTTAAGTTTGTTTCGTGATGCCACATGTTCTCTTCTAATGATTTTGTTGCTTCTGTGAAGGCTGAGAAACTACTTACAAAGACTTTGCCTTTCCCTTACACATCTAAGGAAGTTTATGAGCAGAGCATCCGGATGCCAATTGGACCCGAGTACAATCCAGCAATTACTGCTGGAGCACTTAATCGACCTGTGGTGAGTATTGTTAATGCTTCAAAATTTCTTTTTCATAATTGGAGCAAATAGCTTAGTGATCCTATCAGTTGTCAATGATTCGGAGTGTTTTTTTTTTGGGCATAATTGGAACAAATAGCTTAGTGATCCTATCGGATGTCGAAATATAGGATGATGGAAGAAAACAGGAAAAGAAAAGAGAGAGGGAGGGACATTGCTTATCTCTGCATTAATTAAAAATTTTTGAGTAGACAATTTAATGCTACTAGCATCTCCAATAATTAGGGGTTGGAGTGGGTTAAATCTTACCCTAAGAACTGTTTTATACAATTATGAATTGCATATGGGTAGAAACTGTATGGGTACAAGGTTGAGCTGCATCTGGATCCAGGCATTCATACAATGAAGATATTACTCGAGAATTAATTGTTCCAACTGATCCGTTGTGTAAGGTGAAATAATTATTTTTGTAGGGTTGCAAACTGCTTTTAGCAAATGATCTTTTGAGATAGCGATAACTGCTTTTATTGTCTTTAATATTGAGTACTAATTTAAGTTAACGTTTGGATATGTCAATAGTTTGTTTCAAAATTTTTTTAACAATCATTATTGTTAGTTTTGTGAAAGATTATAGCAGTGACCGTTTATGATTTGAGCTGATATGGCATCTAAATCAGTATTGGCATTAACAAATATGGTTTTGGCTAATAACTAGTACGTATGGTTATTAACAATGAATTCTTATGATGTCTCTATATTTGCATCCATGATCAGAAGTTGATAAAGAAAAGGGTTTTCCAGCCAATGTTGTTTTTTTTTTCTGTAAATATATGACATTTAATAACAATTGAATCGCAATGGACATCTGGTTTCATGCCTAGCTGGCATGTGTTATTCTTATTTAATTATTTAACAGTTGATTGTAAAATCTTTTAGTTAGTAATAGGCCAACTAAAAGCCAAAATGATTATGATGCTAGACTTGAATTCAGTTCGGTGATCTTTATAGTCACCCTCGGGGATAGTTAAGAGTCGGGTTTCTTGAATTTTCTCTTTTGCTTCTGCTACTCAGCCAGTCGAATTGATCTTTTGTTGGTCTCCTTGTTTGTAGACCACTGCATGCTTTTCTACTTTTTTGATTTAATATGTATGAATTTACGATTGATGTAACATTGTGACCGGAGCATGCTCAATGTTTGAGTTGTGTTGGTTTTGAACTCTTTCCAATCTGATAGTAATTGCTTGCCACACAGGTTGTCAAGAAGGCTGGGGTTATCATAAAACCAATTCAGTATGAGGAGGTGGATCCCCATGAGAAACCGGAGCAACCCAAGCGCATCGTACAGAAGCCAAACGCTAGACCAAAGGCGAAGAAAGCAAAATCTGCAGGAGGCAGACCTACGAAAAAGACATCGATGGGCAAAAGTAGTTGAGCTTTCATCTTTGCTCCAGACATTACACATTGAAAACCATGCAAGGAGAACGAGTAAGCTACTCATATTTGCCAACCAAGGATGTCTCTATGCTCCACCGGTTGGCTGATGGTTTTGACGTAAAAGACTACACATTGGTGAAAACTGCTCTAATGTATTCTTTTTTGCTTCATTTCTAAGATACTATTTGGCTCGAGGATATCCTAAAGCAGTCGGTGTAGCAAATTCTTCCTGTGTGTATGGATGATGACTGGAAAGGATCATGACCTACCTCTGTATACTTTTACCAATAGGTGGCTTCCCAACCCCATTTGTCAGCATCCTAACTGGTTGAAGTGTAACATACGAGTTATTGTTGCCATCCCAAACAAATCATCGGCATTACTGGCATGGAAGGGTTTGTCTTTCTTCATTCTTCAATTATATCGAGAGGGACCAAAAGGCTAGTGATGGTCTGTCAAGATTGACATTCTACCTCGAGTCGTACCCCTTCGTCCTCATCAAGACAGAGAACCATTGAATCCTGCAACATGAGCGTACTTGGATTTGTCTTGGGTTCTTCATGGTGGGAAAGAGCCAGCTTGGCTTCTTCCATATACAAAAGAAAATTCATAAGAGAACAGAACCATACTCTGCCACTGCAACGCAGTTACTACAGCTAAACCTGTAGCACCAGTACTTAACATACGCTACAATGACAGGAACACTCGACAAGAATACTCGTAAAACATCTCTCACGACTATGTTCTCTGACTTCTACCATCTCGTCTCTCTGTATATATATAAATATATATACGTGAAAGGGAGTCTTAGGAGGATCCGGTGGCAGTGGCGCTGGTGGGGTTGGCGTCGGAGTGGTCGCCAAAGATGCGGTTGCGGAAGTCGGAGACCATGAGAGGGAGTCCCTGGCGGAGCGAGATCTTGGGCTCCCAGTTGAGCAGCTCCTTGGCGCGGGTGATGTCGGGCTTGCGCTTGTGCGGGTCGTCCTCCGTGTTGGGTCGGAACTCGATGCTTGCGTTGGGATCGATGGTCTCCTGCACCACCTTGGCCAGCTCCAGCATGGTGAACTCCCCTGGGTTTCCCAGGTTGAACGGGCCCACGTGCTCCCCTTCCATCAGTCGTATCAGCCCTTCCACCTGCATCCCGTTGTAATCGAGCGTTCAGCGTCAAACTATGCATCAGCTGATCCTGCCAAAAATGCTCTAGGAAGAAGACCCTCCCTACCAAATCAGAGACGTATTGGAAGCTCCTGGTTTGCTTCCCATCCCCATAAACAGTCATGGGTTCCTTCCTCAATGCCTGGGCCGATCGAACCGTACCATCTCAGTTTTAGTGAACCAAGACAGAGAGTCTCCTACTAAGAAAAATTGCAGCAGCAAACCTGCGCCACGAAGTTGCTGACAACACGGCCGTCGTCGATGCACATGCGAGGCCCGTAGGTGTTGAAGATCCGAGCAATCCTCACCTGTAGTCAACCAAATGAATCAGTCGGAGAGAAAGCGCAGCCGTAGACTGCAGCAAAATGCATCAATCGTAACGTCGGATGCTCGTCAAAGCCACGTCTCTCCGTATACGTAAATATATACATATAGTGGGGGATCGATGACCTCTACTTGGGCACCACGGTGGTAGTCCATGGTCAAGGTCTCGGCTGTTCGCTTGCCTTCGTCGTAGCAGCTCCTAACGCCTGTCACCGCCACATGCAGAGATCAGAAGGAATCATCATCATAAAGCCATCCCGCCTCCAAAGAGAGAGAGAGAGAGAGAGAAGAGAGAGAGAGAACCGATGGGGTTAACGTTGCCCCAGTAGGTCTCGACTTGAGGGTGCTGCAAGGGGTCGCCGTAGACCTCGCTGGTGCTGGTGAGGAGGAATCTGGCACCTACACGCTTGGCCAGGCCGAGCATGTTGAGAGTTCCCACCACGTTGGTCTTGTGCGCAGGTGGGTTAAGGAGGCATCCAAGAAGGAATCTAACGAAAGATCCTCGAAACAGAGCAGAATCCAATCTGTTTGATGCAAAAAGATCTCAAGGAACGGAATTTGCACAAACAGCGGTCGTACTTTGCAAGAAAACTTGGATGAACCGAGGGGAAATAGCAACGACGAGAGGAAGGATATGATGGTCTTGACGGGGTTGAACTTGTAGTGGACGGGGGAGGCGGGGCAGGCGAGGTGGTAGATCTGGTCGACCTCCAGGAGCAGCGGCTCGACGACGTCGTGGCGGATGAGCTCGAAGTTGGGGTTGCCGAAGTGGTGCATCACGTTCTGCTTCCGCCCCGTGAAGAAGTTGTCCACCACGATCACGCTGTCCCCCCGGGCCATCAGCCGGTCCACCAGGTGGCTCCCCACGAACCCCGCCCCGCCCGTCACCACGATGCGCAGGCCCTTCCGCTTCAGCCCCAACGGCACCTTCCCCCCCACGAACCCCCTCGTCACCTCGAACTCAGCCCTGTGGTTGTGGCCGTGGTGGTGCACAGCCGTCGACCACGGGTCCGCCATCATCAGGCGGGCGCCGCGGGTCGCGGCGGGGGAGGTGCGGGCGGAGGCCAGGACGAGGACCGCGAGGGCCATGCCGACGAGCAGGAAGAGGAGGCGCTGCTCGCGGAGGAGGTAGCGGAGCGCGCGCGACAGCGAGAGCATCCGCTTCTCGGGCTTCGCAGAGTACCCCGCGCCGCTCGTCGGGGGCTGCGCGTCGTGGCCGCGGTAGATGAGCTCCGAGCTCATGTCGCGGATCACAGCCGGTCTGTGGTCGAAGTGGCGCCTGCGACGAAGGGAAGGGGAGAGGAATTAAGTAGGGCCCAAGAGGAGGGAGGGAGGGGGGTCAAAAATGTAAATTTATGACTCCACCGAACACGTGATTCCCCTGTTCATGGCACCGCCTCGCGGGACCGGACAAGGATGCCATTTTTCTTGTGTTTTCTCCATATAAATCTACAATTATTTATTTTTATGAGGTTGATCTGCTTGGTATAAAAAAAAAAGAAATTTTAATTATGAAGAATAATTCGGCGCAGTGGTAAGACCTCAAACAATTGTTTTCTGTAAATTTATATCCATTACTAAAAATGTGGAAGACCTTTTTCACATATTTTATGTTATATATTTACATTCGAAGTCAAAAAAATTAGTATATATATATATATTTATTTATGTAATAGTGAAAGGGAAGGTGGTGATGGGTTGGCCACATGTTCTTTGTTGTTGGCGACTTTGCTTGATGTTGCTCAAGATGAGTTGGTATGTAGTGACACTTATTAATAGAAGACACATTTAAAACATTTGACAATTATTAAAGCATCAAATTCCACTTTATCTTCGATCTCATAGGATCCTAAAATGGTTTTATTGTGGGTCTCAAAACTATATATTTATCATTTTATATTTTAATATGAACATCATATTCGGTTGTATACCTTACCTACTTCATATTTTGATGTTAATTGGGTAATATATTCAATAAGTGGTCACCAACGCTTTAAATATATATATATATATATATATATATATATATATAATTTATTTAACTTCAAATGTGCATATATATATAATAAAATATTTAATTTTTTTTATATTTTTAGTAATCAATATATGTTTTGGACTGACACATTTCACTGTAACATTCATAATGTAATGCATGATTTCACGACTTAATGATGATTAAAACCATTGTGTGATTATTTCGATACACTATAAAATGCGTATGAAATATATCCTTGATCATAGGTAAAAAAAAAAATATTATTATTATTTATATATTCTCTTAATTTCTTAGTAATCTAAGCATACATGTCTCTTATATAGTTTTTATATAATATATTACTTATGGAGGCATGAAAGTTATATCGAGTTATTCACATGCATGTCGGGCAACACAATCAAATTCAAACGTATATTATACATAGATTTGCAAGCCTGTCGATATATTTTGTGGGTCTCAAGGAATGTATGTAAGGTGGCTTGGGATCCCAACTAGTCAAGTTAATGTCCTAATCTCTTACCTCTCGATCGAATTAGTATCATTAGTCTTCGTCATTTTGATATATCTCGTAACATCTTAACTTGTGAGTATGTAAATTTTTGTAGAGTTTAAGATTGTTCTTATTTTAATTTGGAGACTTCCATAGTCTTCCGTTTTATAGTTTCTGTTGACTAATATAATTTCTTATTTTTCAGAAAAAAAAATAATTTCAAAATTTTGGATGGGTGAAAATCTTATCATCATATCATCTCTAAGAGATATGTTTTTATATTTTATACATGAAAAAAATAATTTATTGGTAATGTGATCAGTATTTAAAACCTTGTCCGATATATCAGTTAGGTGATTGAGGTTTTGATCTCAATAATAAGGTCTAATAGATTAAACCCCGTACTAATTATTTATCATGCAAAAAAAAGAGATATACAATTTAGAATTTAATCTAAGGCTGAGGTAGTAAAAGAAGTTATAATATGTACGTCTTAGTCAATTAAATGTGTGATGGCAAAACATGTTGAGCCAATAAGTGACCTAATGATTAACAAAGTCGAATAAGCTCGTAGTACTCTTAAATAGCGTCGTACAAAGGAAGTTTAATCTCTATAACAAATGGTTAACCATTGTCTCTTATGTCGTACAACTTCTGCTTAAAGAGAGAGAGAGAGAGAGAGAGAGAATAAGTTGTAGCGGAAACAATTGATGCAAGAGTTTAATGAGGTCATCTTTTGTACGAGAATTAGGTTTACGTAAGCTTCATGCGATCCAGCTATTGAGAGGGACAACTTCACGTTGGTCTCCTATAATTATTGTGATATTATCAAATAAGAAGAATGATATGCTTTGGCGTTGTGGCATCGATGCCAAATATCAGGACAAACTATGATCACATTTTCCAACAGTTTTCGGATATTTACTTCGTACCAGAGAGGTAATTAATTGCGTGTCATTGCTATTTTGCATTATAATTAGGGAAAATTCTTCCAAAAAAAAAACTATTTAGTTCATTCAGTCTGAAATTTTTAACTAATTAATTATATAAATTTTTTATGATCTGAATATAACACCTGACTCGTATCGAAAATATGTAAAATAAAATTTGATTTGATGAATGTATAATTATTAATTATTAATTTTAATATTCTAAATCCGGATCGTGACATCTTATCTATCGATGTTATTTATTATTTTTATTTTTTTATAAGTTATAAACGTTGAAAAGAATAGAAGATATGAAGTTAAAGAAGCTTTAATGCATTAACATGTCCCTCTCCTATTTATACAGATTAGAAAGAAAGATTTTTCTTAACAAAAATAGAGAGTTCCATCTCTTATTTATAAAGGAGAATTTTCCTAAATAGAATAGAGGATTTCCCTCAACAGAATAAAGATCCGTCTCCTATTTATATAGGAAGAAGGATTTTCCTCAACAGAATAGGAAGATTTTCTCGTATAGTTAAGGAAATCTTATTGCTATCAATAAAAATATAGGCTTAAATCTTTTTTTTTCTTAATTGAAGATAATTTAGCTATTAACGAACATCATTTATCTTTATTTTACACTTAGTCTCCTAAACCCGAATTATCATTAATGTATCTCTGGATCCATATACAGTCACAGCTCTCGTTAAGTTTTCCATAATGATTCGTTCATTTCTTAGTTTATGAAACTTTTTGTTTTTTTTTTGCTATTTATTTACTTCATATTCATATTCGTGGGCGAAGAAGAATTCATTCCATGTTAAGATAAGTGTCACACACATTAAAATCCCTCATCCGTCGAATTGATGATCGATCTATGTGGTTCTCTCGTGTCTTCTTCTCGCCAACTCTCCAACAGTAGTCACGAGACGAAGCTTTCGGAGACGAACACTCGGATTCTTATGGTGAAACGGACATGTCAACGATTCAGCAAAAGTATGCAACAACGACTACTTAGCTTCATCTCCAATACACGTTGCTACTAACAAAGATTGCCTGTTGCGCAGGGCAACCAACGACGACCGCTGGTCTACCATGTAGTAAGTAGTATTAGGTTGGGAGGGTGGCCTACACATTTGTTCTGTTTTTTCTTCTTTTTTTTCTTCTAATTTTACTCCTCCTTAATTAAATTCTCGTAATCATAACTATCAAAACCGTATCGAACCGAAGAAAAATTATATTTAAAAAAAATTAAATGATTTACTAAGTGATGCATACCGATCGATCGAAGCTTTAGTTACCCTCCTTTTTTTTTTTTTGTTGGGTCATCTAATTCAATTTGGTTTTATGTTTAATATTATGCTTTGATAGTTTGAAATATTAGTTAGTTTAGTCGATGGAGATCACTTAGCTTTTTCCTGTGGTGTGTTAAGTATATGTCAACTGTCGTTTCTTTTGCACGATGAGCTTCTTGTGCTGCCCGCAACCAACCAAAAGGCACATTAAGCTTTTTTCATGACTTTGCTTGTTTGTTTGGCTCCATTTAATCTACTAAATTTATGACGATGTAGGTTTAGATATAAACCCTCGACAATTTGTCTGACAGCATGATGAGATTTCAGACCTTTAATACATGATTAATATTTTAAATACAAAATATATCAGATGAAATTTTGAGCATTATTCTTTAATAAATAGGCCTTATAAGTCGTCACTATTAGACCTATATTAATTTAATGTAAATTACCTGTAACTTTGTGAAAGTTACAGAAGAGGTCGAGTTGTACATGAGATTCCAGACAAATGAAGCATGGTTTCTAAAGCATGCCGAACTAGAAAATTGATGATAGGAATAACACTCAAGTTTCTTTGGCATAATACACTGCGCCACCTTCTCGGAGAAACTTATTATTCTTGGTCAACTCTGCTTGAATCCACTTCAATCAATCTATTATTCTCAGTTGAATGATGATTTTAATTTAGTGGCCATAGATTTCACCGATGGGATCTTTAAATTACAAAAAAAAGGCATAAAATTGAATTAAAATGGCTGATTTTGTTGACTAAAAGAAGTCGTAAAACAAAAAGTGAAAAAAGAGGATAAAACACTTGCAAGCATGAAATTTAAAGTAAATCAGATTTAAAATAAAGAATAAAAACTGATAATTTAATTATAAAACTAAAAAAAGAGAGTTAGGAAAGAAATTGAAATAATGTTATATTTTTTATCTTAAAGACTATTATTTCTTATTTCGGTGTAAGACGTAATGCACTAATTGATGGATTTGTCTAGCAGTGATGTATCATATCTGTTTAATAAAGATTGAGTGTTTAAAACTTTATCGAATAATTTGTATACTTAATGTGTCAAAATCTACTTACCATGTGTTTTTAAAGATTTTAGCAGGTAAAAGTCTTTAACTATTAATTTCGTAAATATGTTTATATTTTTTTCTGCCTGGCTATGATCAATATTTTTATTTTTATACTATGTTAAAACCAAGATTATGTCTAAATCAAATCGATCGAGTTAATATATATCAGATGGGATATCAGACTTCAACTTATTAGGTGGCTTGTGTCGAGAACATGGGACAACCTGTGTCTAACTCGAAGAACAAGCTTCCTGGAGTGTTCTTGAGCTGCATGGTATGCTGAGAAGGCGGTTCTCCTAGCAGCCGTGTGCTTGACAGATTTCCTCGAATGAGACGAGGGGCGTAGGTGAAGTTGTTGTTCCATGGCTGCCCTGTAGTTGTTATCATCATCGAGATTAGCCATGTAATGTTGCTTAGTTTCTGGTATGTGCATCATCTGTCGGCAAAGTTGATTTGTGCATGCTACAATATCATTGACACATGAAATGACATGATAGAGAACATTAGGTAGGACGACAAGTGTTGGTCGTATTGCTGAATGCCAATCTTTTTCATCAGTATGTAGCACTAAAAATCAAAAATAGCCATCACCTGCAGTATTTTGGTGCAACTAACACCAATAATGTCTTTGCTAGGAAACATGCATATGTTATTCTCAATAATGCTATTCAAAATTGAATTTTTCGTTCACATAAAATTGCCAACAGTCCAAACGCTCTTACTTTTCGATAGTGGATTATGTGGTCATCTCAGACGGCAATAGTATCTGATGATATCATCTCAGTCCAAAAATTATGATTGCAAGTAGTGTAGCAGTTGTGCAGATTGGTTGGTTGTTCACGCAGAAGGCTTGAGATGGATATGATGGCAGCAGAAGCTCTGGCTTTAACATGGCTTGCTGAAATTGAATTCATTCGTGTCAGGCAGAGTCAGATTCAGCCATCTACAACATTGTTTAAGACGATAACAATTGGACCCAAAAGGAGTTCTACATGCAACATTATGTTGTTCCATGGATGATGCCGTAGCAACCGCACTCCATGCATATGTCGAAGCCAATTGCAACACAAGAACGACTACCGACTCTTCTCATAGGCCCAAGTGTGATACTGACACTATGTACTTTCCTACAGCTATACACAATTGCCTTAGCCATTGGGCACTGTATACTGTGGCTATCGACAAGAAAATACTTGCAAAATATCATACAGCAAAATATTCATAGAACACTTAATTGTTACCTCAAGGAGGCCATTATTCTCCAGTCATGCTTCCTGTGCCTGCCTCGGTGGTGGGCCTTCTGCTCTGCAAACTTGTTCTCGCTGACAATTTCCATCTGATCAGCATCTGTGGCTGATAAAATCATCAGTGAAGTTGTAGCACAATTCTATTCAATTTCCCTCTTTCATGATGATATCAAGGACACAAAGCAAGAACAGGCATGCAATATACTTGCGTTTAATAGGGCCGACTCAGCAGTTGCATGTAAGGTTCAGAGTATTTAGTTTATGCAGCATACGGATAACCTAAAATTCCTCCCAACTATTTCAAGCAGTGATTGAGGGAAGCATCCCTCATCACAGACTGCAGCATAAAGGATTGTGTTTGATTTGTGGTCAAGCAATCGTCAAACAGTCATATAGGTAAATCCAACATTCTTTTGTTTCGGTAGCTTAACATATGAACTGAACCAAGTACACCCCTTACCAGAGACCAAATATCCAACCACTTAAAAAGGAAATATTAATACTAATCCAGACAGACTGAACCAAATACAACCCCTACAAGCCATCAAAATGTCGAACCACTTTATGCAAAAAGAGGGAGGAGATACCCCTCGGGTAACCTATGCGTGCTCAGCACAATTTTGGTTTGGATTTATCAGTTTCTTTTACCAATAAAGGAATGATGTCTACCTGCCACATCGAGACATGCATGGTGAATCTCTACATTCCATATGGATGGCAAAGAATAAATTAAGCTACTGACAATTGTAAATATAATTGATAACCACAATTTTTTTAATAATTTAAGAAAATATACTATATTTGAATTGTGTTTCTTGGCATGTAAATAGATATAAAAAAGATAAGGATACCAAAACATATCTGTACATCTTAGTTATTACTTGTTTAAAGTCATCCCTATTCTTCACAGGTGTCCTTTTATCTATCATTTTGTTATTCATTTTTCCTTCCCTTTTGATTTACTATCATGCTTTTCATTAATCCTCCCATTGGTCTGCTTCTGTCTCATCATCCACCACCATAGTAACTATTAGAACACTAGGCAACTATCTCAACAAAGCTGTCAGGATAATTGTGACCAAAGAATTCAACTATCTATCTCAACAAAAACCAAACCAAACAAAAAATTCCAATTAATACTAGTACCATCTCTTTTGAATTATTGATGCACAAAAAACTATAGTATCTCAGGAATATTTCTGACAAGAAATATTTTAATCGCATAGAGCAACCTGTCCATAATCTTGGCTACTTTTCCTTATTCCGTTTCTCGTTACATTGTGAGATTCTTAAGTATTTAAAAGAAGTTTGTAGCCAAGTGAAGCTAGAAATAGAAGATCTGATATTATACTAGTTGTGCTTGTTAATCTCCTGAGATACATTTGTTCAATTAGAATCATTCATCAACTACAGTTCTCATCACTCAAATTGTCTGGGTATCAAGTTTTTAAGCAACGAAGATTTATGCTTTTCTCGCTAAAGCCAACATGTCTGTCACTGAATATTATACACACTACTACACCGATAGGTATGAAAAATAACATAATTGAAAAGTTTTCTAAGTCTCAGTTAATTCATCGCTTCCTTTCTTCTATATATATATAAATGTTCATCTGTTATAGCTCACATGACATGAGATCAACAATGCACCGATTTTTCCACACATGCGAGCAAGTCTTGGATCCAATCAACAAATGCAATAAATCAGTAAGCTGAGAAAGATAACAAAGGCAAGCTACTGTCAGCAGTTTAAAACCATATAGACGTACAAAAAGATGATAATACTGAGTTTGATAATTCTAGAGATCATTCATCCAAGAGCAGGGTCAAATGTGGTTTTAGGGTTCATACCTCCGAGTTCTTCACCCCAGAACAACTGTTTCCCATCATCATCTTCATCCTCATCCTCAATTTCGTCGTCGTAGCCGAGCTCCCCATCACCCCTGTATCCAGCCTCGCTTCCATAGCCGGATTCGTTCGCCTGTGATTCCAGCATCCCTGCACCTCCAACGCCTGGAATTCCCCCAAACCCGGAGGTTTCCCTTTCCAACCTCACTCCTACTGCGACCTCCCTCCCCTCTCTCCTCGTCACCCGGGCCGCCTCGCTGGCATCCGATCCCCAGCTCCAGTCCCCGATCACGAAAAACTCCCCGCTCGAATCCGTTCCACCAGCAGCCAGCGGGAAGTCAGAGCAGGTAGCGTACGTCGCCGAGACGCCGCCCCGGGGTCGGGTCCCGCTGCGATCGGAGCTGCGACCGGAGATCGACCGCGATCCATGCCGCCGCCGCCGCTTCCCCGCGAACCACCGGAGCCCCTCCTCCCGTCTTGGCGGCCGAGGCGGCGGGGGGTCGTCTTTCAGGCTGAGCCGCGATATGTCGAGGCCAACTGCGTTGGCGGGGGAGGGGGCGGTGGACCGATCGGCGAGGCAGGGCTTCTTGGCGCGGAAGGGATACGACCTGGGTGGATCCGCGGCAACGAGCGTTTGCAATTGGAAGGGCTTCCACGCGTGGAGCAGCAGCGTGCACGAATCGATTGCGTGGCGTGAGTTCGCGGTTCTCGGTTTCATCGCCGCCCCGAGGGATCACAAACTCATTTCCTCTGCCGACCTCGAAGGCGACGAGTCGATCTAGGGTTCTTGAAGCTCACAGTTGTCAAGTCTTCGATCGATCGATCGATCGAATCGGAGGACAAAAGGGAAGCAACTTAGGCCGGTGGGCGTTCTCCGGCCAGCGGGGGAAGAGTTGAAGAACGCACATCGACGTTGGTGAAACTCATCACAACCGTTCGTTGTATGAATGGATAGCCGATGGATATGAAGATATTCCGAAGACTACAACCTTTGGGTTAGCTGACGTAGGGAGGGGTAGTTTTGTAATTTGGACGCTAATTTGACAGCTTGTGACGTGCAGTGGCGTGAAGAGCCGGGGACCTACGTGGCAATCTGTCATTGGTCGAGAGATAAGATCGACCTCAAATCTCATTTTTCTTACTTATTAACAACCATGGTTAAAAATAATACTTGAAAAATAGGTAAAAATTTATAGAACTGTAGATGGATAAAAGTTCACTGCACAAACAACTCTTTGAAGACAGCAATTTACAGCAACAAAGATTAAGTTTCCAATATAAAGCTTGTCAAAACTGAATACACAAATAGAAACACTTCCAATCCGCATATATGAAAATTCAAAGAAAAAAATTCTGACGTATACTTTCACTATTCTTATTTTATGTATACTATCCAAAGTGCTTTGTCATAAACTATTCAGGGTCATTGATTTTATGATGATGATGAGGAAGATAATAATAATAATAATAATAATAATAATAATAATAATAATAATAATAATAATAAATCATAATCTTCAGTTTTTAATTTTTTAAATGCTCCTATTTTAGTTTGTCTAAAATAGTTCTAATTCAAAATAAATCCAAGTTATCCCTCTACTTTACTTCTGTATCGTCGTCTCTATCTTTATCATCACTATCACTCGTAAGCTCGATCACTTTCCCTTTTTCTTTTCTCCTCTCCCTCCTAATCGTGTCCTCTTCCTTTTCCTCTTCTCTATCTTTATCTTCTTCTCCTATGACTCGTTTCTCTCTTCCTCTCCTCCTCCTACTTTCAAATAGATACAATATAATATAATAGTTTTAAATTTTGAATCAGACCAAATCTCTTTTGATGGATACTAAACTCTTGTATCTTACTTTAATATCTTATTTAAATAATTTAAAGTATAAATATCTTAATTAAATAAATTGAAGCATAATTGTCCAAATATCTAGTGCAACTTACCTTACATATTTTGTCAAAATAAATTGATTCTCAAATTTATTTGCTTTTACCTTTTGAAACTTAATTTTAGTTAAAATCCATCCTCAAATGCAACTCATGTTGCATATTGAACCATTTTATCTCTTAGTCATTGATTTTTACTATAATTGAATGAGTTGTGTATATATTCAAGTTAGCTTTAATATTGCTCTATACATGCATATACATGCTTTTTGTTGTTTCACATGATTTTTCAATATATATCTATCTCTTTGATCAGAATAACCTTATGTGTACTTTTGATGTTTGTAAGATATTTTAATCCTTTTTTCAAAAATAAAAAGGAAATAGATTATGCTTATGGAGCCATGTTGAACTCTAAACTGATGTTATGTTTATCCAAAAATAGGTGAAATCATGTTATGTTATGATCTCATTACATCATTTATGTTCTTTTGATATAATTGAAATATATTTTTAGTTAAAATCCTTCATCAAATGAGTCTTATATTACTATTTTAAAATATCTTTTTATCTCTTATTCATTGATTCTCGTTATAATTGATATGTTTATGTTAACTTGATATTGTTTTATATATACATATGTATAGTTTTATTATCTCATATGTGCTTTTGATACATTCCTACTTTTTTTTTTATCAAGAATATCCTTATTCTAGTATTTATGAGATATTATGGATCCTTTGCTAGAAATAAAAAGAGGACAATGTTATATGTACAACCTGTGATGCTCTTGTCGACCAAAAATCCTTTATCTAGATGTGGAATACTTGTGTTATGTGGCTATCTATGTTCCTTCGATATGATTCCAAAGGAAATGCTTATATATTATTATATGCTCTTTTAATATGAATAAATTGAATAAAATATCAAATATGATACTTAAGCTTATGTCTTGTATTTGTTCATGATATGCTCTCATGATGTGCTTTGCTCCATTGTTATGAATGAGCCAATTAAAGTGACAAATATAACTTTACTCTTGAGTTCATTGTTTTGCATTCTAATATTGATCGGTTGTATGTTTATTTTTATTCTTTTGTTATCAATCAATCAAATGAAATATCAAACACAACTTTTAAGTTTATTGTTCTGACATTGATTCACTGTAAGTTACTATTTACTCATTTTTATTGATGGATCGAATGGAATGTTGAATAATTCTTGTATTTTGACCTTAATATGCTCATATATTTTTATATGCTCTTTTAATATCAATGAATTAAATGAAATATCAAATATGATTATTGAAATCATGTCGTGCATTTTGACTTTGATCTATTCATGTGTTGTTGTATGTTTCTTTGATATTAATAAATCATATAAAATGACAAATATGATTCTTGAGTTTGTTCTTTGGTTATCGATGAATCAAATAAAATGTCAAACAGAACTCTTGAAATCTTATCTTGCATTTTGATCTTCATCTACTCATATGTTGTCATATGTTGCCTTCGTATCAATGACAAATATGACTCTTCAGCTTATGTCTTTTAATCTTAATTTCCTTATGTATATATATATATATATATATATATATATATATATATATATAT